AATTGATTCACAACTCTCTATAGTCGCTTCTAATAATAGGTTGTTGCAGAAATGTTAGTAAGCACTAGACAATCAGATACTGATGTAAACTATATCGTTATTGACAAACGGCTGTAAAAAAATTCTTTAAATTTTTTTATAAGCATTCTTTATTATATATCCTTCTGGACAAAAAAAGTTTTACACAGTATTTTCAACAAATAATTACTATAAATTAACATTTTTGGAAAAGTAAGGATATATTCGGATAGCCCGAAGAATTCTCTACAAATCGATATATAAACATTTCTGATTGCACTTATCAGTAAAAAATAAATTCACGTACAATAAAGGCACCTTCATGTTCAGATTCCCCAGAAAAATTGTTTTTTTATTTTCATATATTTTTTCAATGTTTTTTTTCGATATAGGAACGATTTATTACAAAAATAACTACATAATATACAAGTACATCAAAGTCTTTATCATCCTATACTCTCCCAGCCATTATTAGATATTATTTGATTACAAACAGTTGATATGTGATTGATGTATCCACGTATAGCATTTTGAGAAATTGTATTCCATGCTTGTTCAACTAATCTTTCTAAATGCTATTGAGAGTGTGGATGATTTCTTTGCACATACCGATTCATCCACCACCATACACTCTCAACAGCATTTAGATCCGTACTAACTGGTGGATAGGTATCCATAACACTAGGTTATAAACTAATGTATGTAACTAAACTATATTCACGAGAAAATAGAAAGAAAAACGAGAAGTCAAAGAACGATCACATGTATAACATTCGAAAAGAAAGAGAACAACGGTTGCTCGATTTTTCAACGTTATATCCTGTAGATAAAAACGGTTACGTATATGTATGAAAAAACTGTCGCATCTCTCTTGAACGTCTCAGAATTTTCCTCTTCAGTGAGATTTTCATGTACTTGTATATTATGTAGTTATTTTTGTAATAAATTGTTTCTATATCGAAAAAAAACATTGAAAAAATATATGAAAATAAAAAACAATTTTTCTGGGGAATCTGAACATGAGGGTGCCATTATTGTACGTGAATTTATTTTTTACTGATAAGTACAATCAGAAATTTTTATATATCGATTTGTAGAGAATTCTTCGGCCTATCCAAATATATCCTTACTTTTCCAAAAATGTTAATTTATAATAATTATTTGTTGAAAATACTGTGTAAAACTTTTTTTGTCCAGAAGGATATATAATAAAGAATGCTTATAAAAAAATTTAAAGAATTTTTTTACAGACGTTTGTCAATAACGATATAGTTTACATCAGTATCTGATTGTCTAGTGCTTACTAACATTTCTGCAACAACCTATTATTAGAAGCGACTATAGAGAGTTGTGAATCAATTCGAAAAACAGATGAACTTATTTTTTAACGAAAAGACAAATCAATCTGCTAATCTGACATCTATTAGAGTTGACAGAATAGAGAAGTATACATGAAGAGATTTTTAACTTGTTCTTTCATCGTGTTTGATTGTTTTTTTAATTAACATTTTCAATGCAAGAAGAAGAAATATTGTTCGGTCAGTGCAATATTACTCTCCTTTGTTTAATTAAATATTTTGAGATCATGACTCGTCTTGCTGCAGGCATTGCTATTTTTCTTGGTAAATAATGTATGTTTAATTTCACGTCATTTTGGCTTGTGTTCGTGGTTAATATTTCTCGATTTTCAAATTGAATTCTTCATACAGGATTATTAAACATCTATATTTTGAGGATGAGAATGAGGAGAAAAGAATCACCTTCATATCCTCACTCTTACCAACTCCAGTCTAGAGAATGTCTGATACTTAAACATGGTATTCTCAATAATAATAAAAAAGTTACTTTATCAAAAAAATCATTTTCAATTATTTCCTGAATGTCAATAATATATCTTATGAATGTATTCTTTGACAATTAGTATATTTTTGAAACCATAGAAAAGAAGATTCTTGTCATATTTTTTTATACGAATACATCAAGCAACTTTATTAGACAAGAACAACAAAAAAATAAACAGATTTAGATTATCTTAAACTTCTTTTAAAAGTATATCATCCTCAACATATCATAAAATATTAGATAAAAATAATATGAATTCATAAAATGTTTGCGTTAGAGTATTCAGATTCTCATCTTTTTTTTTCTATTATAACCTCTTTAGATTTCTAAAATAAAGCAAAAAAGATTACGACTAGCTGTTTCTTAAAAGTAATGTGTGACGAAATCGTCGTATTGCTTGCTGAATAGAGGTATTAAATTCATTTTTGTACAATTTCGATGGTAATACATAGATAATAAATGTTATTATTGATGGAAAAAATGAAATTAAATAAGCAAATAGATATAACCATGAGTTACGTGGTAATTTCATACATCCATTTATAAATGAAATAATCAATCGAGGTAATGCTAATAATACTAATATAAATGATGCAATAAGACGATGTTTATGTTGTTTCAATTGTAATTTAAAATGCTCTGCAAATGATAATTTTGGTTGAATAGTAAAACGAGATCGAGCAATAGAGTAAATCATAAATATAGTACAGATTAAATTTATTGAAAAAGGAATAAGAAAATGAACGAGTGTAATAAATGAAATCAATGTACTAATTGAATTCGAATATCCAACTAAACACCAAATTCGTTGTTCATTTACATCAATATCATCAATTAAATGACGATGAAGAGGATCATGAATATGAGTTAGAATTATTAAAATGACAATGCTTAATGTTATCCATCGAAACATTTTTTTACTTTTCGTTTTATTAAATTTTACACCTTGAATGGCAGCTATAACTCGTTCCATTGAAATCAATCCATAAAGCCAATCAGTTGTAGCTAATAGAATTCTAATAATTCCATCCAATAAAATACAATTAATAGTAAAAAATGATCGATTTGTAAGAATTCTCATTTGTAATAAAACTAATTGCCAAAATTTAAATAATAATACAATTACTAAACATATTGATATCCATGACGAAACTAATAAATAGAAACCAGTACCTACATCTCTTGTTTTTTTCATACGAAATGTTAATATTGATAAAATTCCATTAATTATACCAAATAAAAATATAATCATTGTAATAGCAACACTAACTTTGATAAATGATGATTGATGAGTAAATGATATATTTGGTTTAATATGATAACCAAGAATATAATCAAGAGATAAAACAAAACCTCGTGTTGTAAATTGACATTTTGAACCATAAAAACAATCTGAACATATACATATTGATATACTAGGACATGTTGCATTATTTGGAAAACATTGACCATCATTTTGACAATCATTATAACCTTGACAATTATAAATTATTGAATGATTAAATAGAAAACAATTTGAATATCGATCAAGATCACATAGACACATATAATTTTCATCATAAAAACACGTTAATTCTTTATATTGTCGACAAAAATATGGATAATATTTAATACGATGAAGATATGAATAAGTTTGAAATGTTGAATTCATTATTTGTTGTATTGAATTATATCGAGTATTCAATTGAATTTTTGTTTTAATATATTCTGATTGAATAAATATTTCTCTTAATACAGTTAAATAATAATTATGATTCGAAAATTCAATAAGTAAAATATGAAATGGTTGTTTTATATAAATTGTTATTATATTTATTCCATATTTTATTTTATATAATGTTGTTATAGATTGATGTTCAGAATTTTCAAATGTTGTAATAAAATGTGCAAATATAAGTGATTCTCTTTGAATAAGATCTTCATAAAATTCTAAATCAACTCTACTTTGAATATTCTTTTCACATTTATTTCCAACAAAATTTTCTTGACATAAACATGTTAAACTATTAATAGCAATTCTATCATCATTTGGTATACATAATCCATTATTTTCACATGATTTATTTAATAATTGACAATTTGAATGTTTTAAATAACAATTTTGACCAAATTTATATATTGGACAAATACAAATCGAAGAAGTAAGACAATAAGAATCAGATGAACAAGAACAGTTATGTTTTATATGACATTGATTACCAGAATAACGTTGATCACATTGACAAAAATATAAAATTTTTTTATTAATATATGAAATACATTTTCCATGATTTCCACAAAATAATGAACAAGATTTTAATTGTTGATTGCTTGGAATAAATAATTGAGTAGCTATTCGATTAACAGGTAAAAATTGAAATAGAATTGATAAATGCCAACTTACCCAATATGTTAATGTTATTTTATCAAATATATCAATACGTATTGAATAATTTGATAAATTATTTTTTGGTCGATTTGGATAAAGTAAATAAATATTAAACTTTGTTGTACAATCACGTTTAGGTACATATATTATTTGTTCATGATAAGGTTCAATATCTTCTTCTTCATTAATAATCATAATAATAACTTGAAATATCGATATAGGATTTGTAATATTAGCATATAGAAATTGAATTGTCAAACTAATACGTTGATTTTGCCATTGACATTGATTACCAAAACAAGTAGGAGGACACAAACATTTGTTAATACTATTATTTTTGAATAGAAGAGGAATTCCTCGATGACAATACCAAGTTTTTTTGTATATCTTTGTAGTAATAGGTTTAGTTTTTGAAAATTGATTAGATTTTTTCATAGAAACAACAGGAGAAATTGATGGTAAAGAATTCAATCGTGATGTTTTCAAAAATAATTTTCGATTTCTTTTATCATAAAAGTTATTTTCCATTTCACACATGAAATAATCTTCTGATTGTATTAAAGAAATGACCATTTTATATATAGGTACTAATTTTGTCTCTATTAAACATACATCTTCATCTTTCATATATGATAATGACTGATTTAAACAAATTTGTTCTGAAGTAATACATTTTGTTTTATTCCATAAAAAATAATTCATTGAATTATAATATATTTGATTATTTAAATAAATTTTACGAATGATATATGATTCATCACAGTTTGAATATTTTTCTATTAGATGATCAACTGGTATACATAAATATTGATAATCTCCATAATAACATTTATGTTCATTTAATGAACAATTTGTTTGAGGACAATTAAGTTCATCATAACCATTAAGACAATGCCATTGATTATCACATCGACTATATATATTATTACATGGCCACCATTCACAATTGGTTTCATCTGTGTTATCGAATGTATTACATAATGATTAATCATTTTCACTATCACAAAAAATTCCAATTGGTGGTGCTTTATTTATTAATATATTCCGTCGATTATTAGGCCATTCATCTTCTCCATTTTGACAATCAGATTTTCCATCATTAACAGCAATCATTGATAAACATTTATTAAAATTTGATGCACAAATAAATCGAGTTGAATCATTTAATTGACAAGTAGAAAATTGTTCATCTTCTTTATAATAACAATCATTATCACCATCAACTAATCTATGTTTTGAAATGCATTTCAATGACAATGGATGAATCTAAACAACTTTTATCTTTACCAATTTTTGAACATTGTTCAATTAAATCTTTAAAAATATTATTCAAATCATTCCAATAATCTAATGTTTTATTTATTAAATTTTCACGTTTACAACAATTCAATCCATTATCTATTCCAATATCAATTGAACAAAATAATAATTTCGAACATTGACTTGCATTAAAACAAATAAAATCAGGTGTAATATATTCTTCTATTCTATTAAATGATCGATTTGTTAAATAAACAAATTGAAAGAAATTAAATAAAACAGGATATTCAGGTAATAAAAGCCATTCTGATGAACAATTCTTCATAAGAGATTGATAATGATTAATATAGAAAGGTTTATTTAGAATGTAAAGATCGAAAAACTTGTCAAATAAATAATATAATGCTTCTCGACAAAATAAATTTAAGATATGATCTAATGAATAAAACATTTTGAACAATATTTGGGAATTTCGATAATAATTACAAAGTTGTTCACCTAAAATAGGATTAACTGTACCGACAAGAGTCATTATTCGAGGACATAAATAAGTAAAAGAACGTGATCCAGTAAGTTCTTCACACTGAAATATTGAATTTTGATGACATCGATAATCAATTGCATCTCTATGATAGAATTTTGAATTTAATTCATCTGTAGCATCGAGATAATCAGTACTCATCTTTCCATCATCAACAAATTTTGATGAAATACATTGTTCACCAAAATGACATCGAAATTCATTATTACTACATTGATTTATTTCTAATAATTCACATAATTGTTCATCTTCTCCATTTAAACAATCATTGATTCCATCACAAATTTCTCTCCAATGAAAACATACTGATGATGGACCACGATAACAATTATTTAATAATGATAACATGTATCGTTAATCATACCTTTAGTAATAGATAAATCATCAGAGAAATTGAAAATAAATTGACTAACATTATTAAATAAAGATAGAATGTCATTATCAAATCGATATTGACATATTGAACCAAACCAAGGTGACGAACAATTGTAAAATATTTCACTAGAATTTTCACTATTTTTTTCATATCGTTCTGCAATATCTATTGGTGATGCCCATTGAAGTGATTCTGTACTTGTTATACCTTCTCGATATAGTTCAGCAAATGTCATCCTATTTAAAACATTTTCATATGATACTATAGATAATTCTTCTTGTTCTTCATTTTCATCAAGCCGACGACAATAAGGAATTAAATTATAAATACGAATGTACTGAGAAATGTCGAAAAGAAAAATGTCGAAAGGAAAAATGTCGAAAGCAAAATGTCGAAAGTAAAAATGTCGAAAAGTAAAAATGTCGAAAGGAAAAATGTCGAAAAGTTAAAATGTCGAAATGAAAAATGTCGAAAAGTTAAAATGTCGAAATGAAAAATGTCGAAAGGAAAANTTTTTTGGTCTATTTTCTAAAGAATTCTCAATCAAAGGGAGTAGTCAAATATTTATGAGAAAAGTTAAATATAAATTACAATCAACATCATCTTCACAACCGAGGAAAGCATCATGGCTACCAGAATCAACAATATCGACTCCACCAGCTATCTATCCTATTGGTATTATCGACATATGTGCCACATTTTTCATGACCAAGTATAGCAAATACAGACATTTATCACCTTTAGGTTAATGATTATGCATTTCTGACTATTGGAGGAAGAATCATTGAAAACTTGACTCCAGTTGAAGCTAATTGTTCATCAAATGATGGTCAATATTGTCGATTCCCATCATCCATTCAATTTGCTGAAAATGGTGGCAAATAGTGTGCGATAGCATTTTTTAATTATGGCAGAAAAGAAACCATTGCTCATGGACTCTTCCGTACCGAATAAAATTGTGTTGGATTCATATTTTATTACGATTTAAATAAAACGATTGAGAAAAAAAAAGTATAAGTAAAGGTATCTACGGATTATTTTTGGCTTATTCATTGTAAGCATTCAACGAGACAAGTTACGCTTCAACTTTTATCTGCTAATCGAAATATCGTCAATGAGTAAAGCAAGGTACTCGATACCGGACTAGCCTGATCAACAAGGAGAGAGATTGTGCTGGTCTCCAACCAAAATAAACAATAACAATAATATAATACGAGAAATGAAGGATATATTTAATACAATTCAATCTTTTCAACGATCTTTCTGATTGTCTTGATGTCTTCTCCCCGTACATATCTCTACTATGTACCGCAAAGATAGTATCTTGAAGAACGAGTAGCAATCAAGTATTTATCCGACGGAACTAGGTAGGAGTGGATAATAAGCAGCAGAAACAACTTTCCTAATCGTATATCAGAATAGAGGACGAGTTTTAATTCAAATAGTTATCATTATTTCCGAATTGATTATCATCATCATTGAATATGATTCACTGTGACTATCTATTTTATGTGTACTCAATACATTAATTAACCAGATTGAAAGTCGCATGAAGAAACATCTAGTGACAAAATAGAATATTTGTTACATTGAATGTATCAACAAGTAATTCATTGTGATTTGTCCTTTGTGACTTTATCTTCATGTTTTATTTTGAAAAACACTTATTCTTACTAACTTATATCATTTTTTTCTATCGTAAATATATTCTTCTTGACAGCATTCAAAATGGAATGCCAATAGTCAACATAGTATGGCAACGTGTTATATAGTACAGTAGTGATTTTATCTCGATTCTGTAGCGTAATTCACTCTTATTCTTGCATTTTTTCATTAGGTTTTCTCACTTGAGTGATGCATAGTGCACTAATAGATTACGCAAGGAAAGCAATGTATTCAAAGATGCACAGAGAAAATATAAGTATAACGCCAATAATAATCGGTGATTTCAATTCAATCTCTGAAATAATTAAATAAAAAAAATAATAGTCTCAAAAGATTGTCTTTTCTATTTTAAAAATTGATATACGTGGTAGAGTAGTAGTTAAATCTATTCTAATCAATTTCACTTGGCAATAATGTTTTGATTCGCACGCGGTAGTTAATACACTGGCAGTTGAGCCTGAATGAAACAAGAGATTAATGAATACAAGAAAGTAATTTTTTGAAGTAAATTCATCAAGGCGAGTAGTGCAATGATGTTGCACTATCTGAAATTTTTGATTTAAAATTCCATTGATAGTGTTTCTTCAAAATTTGGTGCATGAATATGATCTGTGACTTAAACACATTTTTTACCATCAAAATACACATGACTTGCACACTTATTTCTACAACAATGCCAGATGGTTTGAGATTTATTGGCATGGCGTTAACGAAAGTCATCAAATAGAAATTGATTTTTGTTCTTTGAGAGTTTTACAATTGACATTATATTATTATAATAGAATAAGATAGAACAGTAATGAACATAAAATAAGCCAAAGAAATATAATTTGAAAAACTTATTCGTTTTCGTGAAGATGATTGACTTAGCTATTGATAAATATACCAGCGAGTTATCAACACCATAAGAGGTGGTAGCATATCTGTGTGCAATATTTATAAGTTGAGCAAAGTGATTGAATATTGATGTTATTTCTTTCGTGATTAATTGATGAAGGCTCAAGAGTCAAAAACTCAACTGTTTTGTCATCTGTCATTCATCCTCAAGATATTAAACTTCTAATTTCTTAGCTATTTTTGGAATAATAGGATTTAAAGGAATAGATTAATTACATTTATATCAGTTCAAATTTCTAGAATTTTTTCCACTTTGTAGAACTTTTGAAGAATTGAAATTTTTTCTAATTTTGGCAGGTTGATTTCAAAATTTGTATCAGTCTGAGATGTGTCGCTTCTTCTACTTACTGTAGAAAAAATAATGTCCAAAATAATGAGAAAGTTGATTACACATTAGTTGAAAAATTCTTCAGACTATCGCCTATCGCTTGATTTAGTCAATTTTCTTGGCTCACACTAGAATATGACGTTTTTAGAAAATTGACTAGCAGACACAAATTTTCTTTTTTGAAACGTCATTTCCGAGTTTTAAATTCTCTAGAAAAGAAACGAAACCGACAAAAATACTGCATTCAAGGATGAACATTGGTGGTTTTAGCTGAATGACAAATAATAATGTTAGTTGATGGTTCGATTTATTTCAATGACTTATAAAATGAGAATAATATCTTGAATAGTAAAGATGAGTTTATTTATAATCGAATGTCATTTATCGTTGAGTCCAGAAAAACATGTGTTTCAGGAGCCTTCACTGCTCTCGATGTTATAACCCAAAAGAGCTGCAATGATTTCCTGAAAGAGATAAGTAACAGTGCGCTCATACTGTTCCTGTTGACGTTGTGCTTGCAAGTCAGCATCTTGTGCAGCATCGAGACCTTCAAAGTATTGAGTACAATTCGACGACAGAAGTTGTGCATCGGTGTTATTTTGGATATAAGCTATTTCATGTGCTCGTTGTTGAAGAACTTGAGCGAATGAGTCATTAGAACTTAACTGTGTGATGAGTGCACGCATTTGGGTCAGAAAAGATTGAGCCAAACTGTTATTGGCACACAGTTTTGAAATCCCATGATTGTTCTCATCATTATGAGGACGATGAGAGTCACCTTCATGATATCTTTCATTAGGAGCCCCACGGGCTGAGATAAAGCCTAAACATACCTAAAAAAATGGGTATTAATGGTATCAAGATGAATGCATGCATCTCCGAACGACTTACAAAAGCGATGAAGAGGACGAGTTTGGTCATGTTTGCAGTTTAAATTATTTGTTGTATGAAACACACCTTTTCTCCTCTGATATTTATATATACACTATAGTATCGAGAAGGCAACAGGTACAAAAAAAAAGAACACACTTTGTATCATGTTCTTGGACTATTTTTGAACAGAATAAATGCATGACGCAGGTACATGACGCTACTATTACTCGTTCTTGTTTATTTAACATTATTTGATATCACGAATGGGAAAAAAACAACATTAGAATGATGAAATACACTTATTTTTACACGTCATCTATCATAATGTACTCATACTTTTTCTTCAGCGAACTCTCGCAAATATTTCTAGGAATAGACCCCATACTTGTGCAAAACTAAGAGTGTAGAGAGTCTGCACACAGATGGGCGTTTGTTGCTTTACATAAAACATGCATGTAAATATTCTTTGATATATATCCATTCGTATGCGTGGAATATATTTTTCATTCATCCAAAAGAGTCAAAGCGTGTATTTCGATTTTCCTTCAAATGATAAAAATGATTTCGTCATGAGGAAGAATAATTTTCTCGGTTAGAACAATAAAACTCTTTGAGTAAGATTGAATCAATCAAGGAAAAGATAATGATGTATCGCAAGAAAAGTAAACACCGTTCATCTAATTAAGCTAAGAAAAACAATCAATCGAAATAGCAGAAATATTATTTATCTACGTTGAGTTATATTGCGTACTTAATAAGAATGATAGCTCGGTTCATTAGTGCAAAATTTGTACAGACGTTGTCACATGAATCATTTTCATATTTTACCTTGAAAATGATATATTTGTCCTTGAATGATGGGCGATAAGGTATGAGTAAGAACAAACTTTGAGTGTATAATTAATATGTGGGTTTAAAATTGTATCATTTTACCTGGGAGAAAAAATGTAATAATGTTTCCCACTGATCGCTCAGATGATTCATTCAATTTCGATATGCAAACTGTGGATGACGTAAGTAACCGTACAATATGTTTATCAATGTGGTGTTCGGATGTGTAATTCTTTATTGTCACTCGTTTTCTTTTTCAAAAATTAATTGCAGACATAAAACTATAGATCTCGAATTTATTCGTAGTCGTAATAATAAACAACAACAAAAATGATATATTCTATATGTAGTTTTGAGAAACACGATTGATAATGGCTGTTGAACTATAGATCGAGAAAAGTGAACCCCTCCAGTTATCTTACAGACCGTAACCAATTTCTTATCTATTGTAATCACAAGACTCTTTCATTTGTTAAGTGTTTGATAATCTGTATTAAAATCGATGTTCACTCATCAAGAGTTAGTCATTCATGATCGTGTGAACTTTGAACAAAAAACAGCAATCCAATCTATTGCAAAGTTGGTTGCTCTCTATTTCTATATCTATTTTCGTTCTATGAAATAATTAACGATTCTGCACTTCGAAATTATTTGATGAAAGTGAAAAAGAGAAAACTTGGTGTCAAGTGCATTTATTATCAGCCAAGCAGATCTTGCACATAGTCAGCATCATGTGTTTCTTTCTCGTTCGATCTTCTATCGGTTCTTATCGCAATCACATCTGATACTCAGCAATAAACATATTTTCATAGAAATCTCGTTGACTTATGCCATGCCATCAGATCTGTATACAACATTTATTTTTCGATGAGATGCCAGTCTTAAATGCACCTCAAAAATATCTTTCAGACAAAACTCACATCCAATTGTTCGTTTACTTATTATTTAGAACGATTTTTTGTTTAAAGACTATATTTTCTTCCGAAAATATTCGTTTCTCATAATGACTTAAAGATATTAAATATTGACTGATTAGTCTCAACCATTCAGAAAAAAATTATTACTGAAACAAATGTAAACTTGGATGAAAAATTGTAAATACCATTTTGGAATTCCTATTTCGAATGTAAAACTATGTTATCGAGAAAAAATACATATCAATTCATCTTACAAGCAAGAAACTTTCCTGAGACTTTGTCAAATTGAAGGAAAATAACATTTTCAAAAGTCATTATCAAATATCTTTTTAATCTAAATAAATATGTTACTGAAGAATCTAATTATTCAAGTTGAATCAAGTCACTCAAACCATATGTACCAATGTTCAATAAACTTCTTTTAATGTTTTCAAGAATCAATTCTTAATTTGATGTTATCTGAAAAAGATAAACTGGAAAATACAGTTCAAGATGTTTTTGTTTCAAAATGAATCCACTTTGTCTAAGAAATTGTTTTAAAGAATAAAGATTGAACTATTTGATTCATCGAATCAATAATTGAGATATTAATTAGGAAAAAAAAGCCAAATAAAATGTTTGATAGATAAATCATTTGACTTCGAAAATGTTCATTTATTTTGTAGAAATCATTTTTGAAAAATCATATCGAACAAATTCTTCACAGTAACAATATTCTTATCGATGCATTTGAATCATTGCAGATTCTTTTCTAAAGAATATGTAAGGTTTCATCTTCATAAATTTAATTTTCTTAATTCTTAGGAATGATGTACAATAGTAAGTTGAAAAGATATCAAATTCTTAGACTGTCAGCAAGCGAACAAAAACGAAGTTTCTTGTTCAGTTTTCGCAAACAAAAATTGATAACGAGATTCAAATCCATCTTCATCGGATACAATGTTGTCAAGATTTTGTGTAAAAACTCATCACAATGAATTATCGATAATGAACATATTCACGATAATGAAACTCTATCGAATGAATGTTTGAATATTTTATCAAACTATTTCAACTATGATCTTTGCTCATTGCTTACGACTTTATTTACAACATGGAGTGAAATTTCAAAATCCTAATCATTGATCACCATTATGTGTGTTGGCAGATTTTGTGAAATTCATTGTTCAAAGGTCTCGATAGATCGATTGACAAAAAAAAACGCGAGCGTGATTGTAAATCTTCTCTCCATTTTCACTTTGGCATTAACTATCATATTCACTTCCTCAAGGTGGTTATATGATGGGCTATTTGATCAATACTTAGCACTTGATAAGATTGATTCAGCAACACTGAAATATCTGGTATTGTAGTAATTTTAGTCACCTAATAAAACAAAGCAATATCTTTTTTTATGACGTTCGTTTCCTCACAATGACGATATATTTATCTTTCACAATAACAAAAAGTCGATCGAGCATGTGTTTTATTCATTAACAAGCTTGCTATTAAACAAATGATATGCTTGATGGGTTTTTTGTTCTTGCGAAAGATGCACATGTAGTCATATTATAAAAATGAATGTTATATATTGCTGCACGAGTATACAAAAGTAAGTATCACGAAGAATTGCATCGAATTTCAGTATTACATGTGAAAAGAATCGATTAAATTCTATATTGGATGGAGCTGCCATATAATCAAGTTTCACAAATGTATCAGCTCTGGCTACAACAGCAGTTGAAAAAATGGACAAAATCGCACGAAGAGATAGATACGATGATACGAAATACGTATGTGAAGAACAAGCATCAATTGCGTACGATTCTCTATGAACTCAAAGATACCGTTGTTGGTCAAGCCTATCAACTAAGTCGACTACTGGAATTGGCAAATGAAGATGATGATCGTCTTGTGAGTATGTTCTCAGTAAACATACCGATTACCAGTTACGACACTATCAAGAGCTATGTCGATCGTATGATTGATGGAGCAGAATCGAATCTGCTTATGGAACCTGATGCAGTCGCTCTATATGCTGAGACCTCTGGCACTACAAGCACACCAAAACGGTTTCCCATTCATAAACGCAGTTTAATTGATTCCGAGTTAGGTTCCTATGACCAACGGTATACTACGTATCAACAATTCCCACAACTGTTTGAAATACAAAGTAAAACTCTATTTCTCTTCAGCAACCCTGATGTAGAATTCACAGCTGATGGAACGTGTATCTCTTGCATTTCTGCGCTGTACTACAAGCCTATCAAGGATCATTCCGATTATTTGACGAAGTTACGCGAAACACTCGGCTCAATTTTCTCAGCCAGCTTTGATATTCCACCCATTTGGTATTATAGCTCACCACCGGAAGCATACGATATCGATGAACAGGGTTACCTGGAAGCTTACTACATTCACATTGTGTTTGCTCTAAAGAATAGTCAGCATATACGTGCAATTAAAAGCATTTATATTACAGACATTCTGCTTGTGTTCGACATTTTACAGATATATTGGCATGAGATCGTGCACGATATTCGCACTGCTCAACCAGACACACTCAAATCTTTATTTTGGTCAAAAATACCGGAAAAACTTCGCAATAAGTTGATTGACTACATGCAACCTCCTGATCCGGATCTGGCTCAATTCGTGGAGACCGTCATGGATCATACTGAAATGGCACCAGGTTGGGGCAAACGTTTATTTCCTCATCTTCTCGTGACAAGATCACGATCAGGATCGACAATGGAGCATTATCAGACGAAGCTAAGCGCAATTCTTGGTGAAGATGTGGCCTGTTTAGGTGGTGATTACAGTGCATCTGAGGGTTGTTTGGGATTAAACAAATCCTGCACAGCCACAAATCTATTTCATCATGCCGTTTGGAACTGTTACAGTGAGCTGCTGCCGGAAGATCAATGGTTCGTCGATCAGCCACGTTGCATTAGTATTGATTCAGCACAGATAGGTGAGATAACACCTTAGTCGATCTTGCTAGATCTCTCCCACAACTTTGAGTCGATTTTCTATTGATAGAAGCTGAAATAATTAAGTTATAAGATGCATGCTTTGAAAATACGGATGAGGCCGAACTGTACTATCGAATTCAGTTTACGTAGATGGAAAAGCTCAGATGTGACATTTTCTATTATTGAAAGGCTTAGAATCGTATATGTTGGGGTACCAATGTGAGCCTGGTGGTTTCCTTATACATGCTGAAGTCGTCTATAGTATTTTGTCGATAATAAATATGTCTAAAAGAAAGTGTCATCAAAGTTTAGTACTAGAAATAGAAAATATCGATAGGTGAAATGCCGGTATAAAAAATTGTCAACAATACATAATTTCGAAAGTTTAATAATAAAAAATATCTAGAACTCTGTTAATTTTCATGCGAATTAATTCAATATACTCTTGAAAAGATTTCTGAATTCGCCACTGCTTAAATTTTCAGCGTAGGTCGAGTAAGAGGCCGTGTATTAAGGATACAAAAACAAGATCAAAACGATAAGATTATTGAGAAATAATCGAAAGCTAGGCTTGCAGTTTTTTTTGGTCAGACCAATGCATTTTTGCAAACATGAGTAATCAGAATTCTCACACAAGATGCAAATATCATCAGGGTAGTTACATTTCAGGTTGTCCATACGAACTCGTCATCACCAATCTCAACGGGCTATATCGCTATCGCATGGGCGACATAATTGAGTACGTAGAAGAAGATGCTGCCGACATCGTAGCGCCTGTATTTCGTCTCAGTTACCGTCGAGCTGCACTACTTAACCACTTTGATGAAAAAGTGACAGAGCAGCAAATCATCGAAGCGCTATCGGAAGTTATCGACGAGTTCAACAAGAAAGAGAACGACACTATTCATCAAACACTAGTTGATTATTGTGCAATGTCAATCAACGAAAATCACACATTCTATCACGTGATCTTTGTTGAACTGAAGCCTGGATTCACCAATGTGGAGCAAATGCAAATCAACTGGGAACACTTTACTTCAATGGTAGACACAAAGTTATGCCGGAAGAATCATGTGTATTTGTGTTATCGTAGCATTGCCTACTTGAAACCCCTTCATGTTCGCCTCTGTCAAAACGGCACATTTGGAAAGTTAAGAGACGGTAGGACTCACTACATAGTAGGCAACAGGTTGTTATTAAAATCTTTTATACTGGTTGACTATTCTCAGCTTATTTTGCTTTTATCAAAGTAAGAGTCTTTTTTATGAACAAATTCCTGTGAAATATTCAAACGAACACAATTCGTGTGTGTAGGTTAAGCCAAGAACCATATTCAAATCCTCTTCATACGATTGTTTTCTATCAATTAAAATTAAATAGAGAACTGTTAAATCTAGTATTCACTCGTAAAAAGTTGTATCTAATCAACCGTACTTATTTTCTAATTCGATTGTTTTTCTTTGTGTTGAGCCCAACAATTTGATTATTGAAACTTTGGCAAAAGATCGTTTCTAGTCATAGTTAATATTCTTAGAAGGTTTTAGTTTTGAATTGTCCACGGAAGTCAGTGTCAATTCTGGAAGTAAGGTAGAGAGTATGGCTCAAGAGAATATCTCTAAAAGGACTTTTTCACTTTCACAATCAAAACCGTATGAGTTCTTGAAAATTAATGTCAACAAAGGTTAATGTTCGTTCTGTAAACTATTGTTTCTTTTCTGTTCTTCAGGCTTTACATGACCTGTTTTTATTGCTCTGTCTGACGCTGTTATCAGATTTCATGACATCAAATAAAACAATATCAGAAAGGATGAGAGCGGCTTGATACACAACACAGCAGGATTTTGGTATTTTTCACCGGTTATTTTCTACTCTGATATTTTTTCATGTTTTCACATGAAATTTGCTGTTAGTATCGGTTACAACAATCGAAATTGAACCTTCAAAAACTCAAAGAACCGATCGCAACTGAAAATTCACATCGTTTAAAATTGATAGTATTTTTAAGTGTATTGTCAAGAACTGATATATCCCTATTCGAATTGTTCAGTATAGGCGCTTTGTTATGACTTTCAATCTTGTGCGGTTTTTCTCACTCGCTGCTTACTCAAGTTGAAATAAAATGGATTGAGATGCAACGCATGCTTTTATTCAAGAGACCATGGCAGTTACCTTTTTGACGATAGAAGCGTCTTCTGCTTCATTCTAAGATCTGCTGTGGAAAATTCTACATTTTTGTTGTTTGTAGAATGCTTTCCCCCTATTTTTCAAATTTGGGATCTGTTTATTCTGTCTATGATCATGTTTAGCATAGTTAGCAATGTTCTAAAGATTTCTGACCAAGTCAAAAAAGGAAAAAACGAGACTGACGAAATATATACTTTTCTCGTACTTCCGCTTTTTCTTAAATTTTATTCGAAGTAAGTGAAGTCTTGCTTTTGTCTCCTTGGATCAAATGCACCTCTCCTGTTCATAATAACTGCAAGTTGAAAACGTATATTTTGTGTGGAATGGTCAGTAAGAAAACTAACGTTGAAAAGGAAGCCTTATTACGTATTTGAAATGTTAAGAATATTCTAGTCATTTTGAGTACCGATTCTGATGGACCATAATATTATCTCTTTATTTTACAGCACAAATACAACGAGGCACTCACTCCGAGCAGTTCAAAGTTCCACGAGCAATTCCGCCACAGGCACATAGTTTAATTAAGTTGATGATGGAGAATTCTATTTTAATGCCTCTTTCGGATTGTCTTGCACAAAATATGCAACGTGAAATTGACGCAAATTCAAACGATGAACCAGGTTTGCCATTGATGAACAAGCCGTCGACAGTGGAACAATCCTCTATACAAGAATAAGGTTTTCAGCAAAACTATGACTGTCACTAAAGAAACAAATTCCACACGCTATTTTAATTCGACTTTTTCTAATCTCTCTTGAATTTCATCTTTCATGTGACTTTTGATACCATTTTGATCTTGTGTATCAACTGTTACAATCTATACCGACGTACGACACAAGTTACTTTTTTCTCTCTAAAAATAATTTTCAATAAATCCATTTTTATAAAGTAACATAATTTCATGAGATGCGCAAGTGTGTAATACAATAAGGAGTTCTTTTGAATCGAACGAGCCTGAATTCGACCAGTAGGCTCTAGTCGCTTTGAGGGTTTATCAAATGTTGTTAAAGCTTTTTGGACCTCAAAATAATTTTCAAATGTGACAAATGTGTACTATACAAAGTGTAAAGTGACTTTTGGGACACCCTGAACCTGGGATGCTTCGATGCTGAGCGACAAGGAAATGAGTGTAAGCATAAAATCAAAATAAAATATGACTTACAAAAAATGAACTGAAAACAGAAAATGATCGACAGCAGCCTAGTAAGAATTGAAGAAGGACGTCGAGCGCCTAGATGATGAAAGAATGTGAAAAATATTCGAATTGAGTAGATAGGCAAAAGCGCATTCAGTTTCGAAACTTGTCACGTTCTTCAGCACTAAGTAGAAGAATGAGTATGGAGTTCACTTTTCTCGCAATATGTTTTCATAATCATCAATAATTATATTTCACAAAACTCGGCCAGTAAGGATCGACCTCCCAATGTAAAAATAAATTACATAAGAATCACAAGGAAGTCGCTATCTAATCAATTAAAATTACATACCTTTAATCGATTATAATAAAAAAAAATCAAAGATATAGAAATTACATTGCTTATTCTGATAGGTTTTTCATTAAAATCAATTTAGAATTGTGCAAAAAAAAACTTTTAATGAATTTCATGCGATTGTAAGCGATTTCTTTATGATTACGAAACTGATTCTAATCAAAAGTAATTCGAATAATCAATGCAATTTCGATATTTCTGATTAAAATTAATTTAGAATCAAGTTTCTTTTTTACATGAGTCGAATTCAAATGGCTTATTGGCAGCTCTGTAATTTTTTTCTATTTCTATGCTGTGTCTAAACTACACCGGTTGACAAGATTATTTGGACTTATCTAAGCAGCTGTTGGTTCATGCAAACAAAGGTACTATTAAACTGCATAGTTAAAGTAGAATTTTCAGATAAAAATTTCACATATTTATTGAGAAATAAACAGAAATATCTACAAATTCTGCATGAAAATGAGAGATGTAAATTTTTATGCTTTTAGGATCTTTTATTCAATTTAAGTAATGATAAATTCAAATGGTTATGAAATCAGTTCAAGTAATACACTATCAGAAATAAAAATATTAGTCAGATGTTTCTCAAGTCACAAATGAGAAGTCCGATAAGATACAAACTGAATTGAATTAGTCAAACGATGTTCATTCTATGAATGTTCTTCTTATTATTCTGCACAATTCGTACATTTTTCTATTTATCGTTGAATAAATATGAGAGATGTTCATCCTAAAATTCTACTTTATCTGTGAAATTTGATAGCATTATGATAATCATCAAATTATAAACTATTGAACTAAGCGACAATAACTTCAGCAGGATGTTTAAATGGATTAACAAATTTGTGAAGTCTTCAGAATAATGTTAGCGTCTTGGTGACATAAAATGCATAAGGTAAAACAATAAAAGAATATATATATGTATTGAGGGTATACACTATCGGAAATTTGAACTAATTTTCAAGAAAATAATTAATGATTTTAATTGAAAAAGGCGATCTTTTATATAATTACAAGGAGAATAAAATGATTCTAGATTTATTTTTTTTTTAAATAAATGATCAAAACAAAATCTAAATATAGGTCGAGAACAAGTAAATTATGAGAGCGATAAATAATTATGAGGATTTTAGACGACGTAAATATTGCTTCGTATTTGTAATAATAGATTTACCTGACGCAAGACAAAAAGATATTTAACACTATGGATTCCTAGATAGATTATATAAAATAGATAATTAAGTGTTTATACCGATTAGAAAAGAGAGTCCTCATTCATTTTGCTCTATACCAGGAAAATAAAACAACATTGAATTTGATTATAATTGTTGTTGAAGAAGAAAAATAACATCCGACTTAGACAATATACATTCAAATCGAACTTCACTCCTTTTTTTATCATTCGAACAATAGTTTTTTTTCAATAAAACTTATATCTACTATTATTGTTGAAGCAAATTGAAAGTTCATGATTTGACTTATCCCAATATATAAATCGCTAAAATATACTATAAATAAAGATGAGCTGTCTAATAACAATCCATAAGTGTTAATATAGATATAAGCGAAACGTGCTGTTGAATGTGTTGATCGTTTTTCGATATTTTCTAAATAGAAATTGATTAGTAATCTATATAATAAGTATCTCGTACAAGTATATGTTAGTTATGTTGATAAAGATTTTGAAAATGATGTTTATTTAGCAATTGAATAACGTCAATAATAGATTTCTTTAACAGATGAAAAAGTTAAAGAAGATTTTAACAAGTTTTTAAGATGATCAATTTGTTAATTAATCGTAATTGAATAAAATTGTTTATTGTAATATAATTGTGTTATAAAATAAATATTCGATAAAACAAAGAAAAAGAAAATTTTCAATAATTTCTTAATAATTTGTAATAATAATATGAGTATCAGACATGATTTTTTTCCAGAGATCTAATGTAAAAATAGTTTGTGTTTTTATTTAAACTGATTTATTCATTATGATTGTCATCAATAAAATGACAAACAAAATAAAAAAATTTTTATTCTCGATTATTTAATCGAGGGAGAAACAGTGAACTTCAAGACTTCAAAAGACTTCAAGAGACTTCAAGCATAGAGACTTCAATTTTTTAAAAGACTTCCGAAGACTTCTAAAGACTTCATGGGGCTTCTTAAGGCTCCATGAGACTTCATGAAACTTCAAGAGACCTCAAGGGAGTTCAAAGGACTGCAGCATAACATCCGATGCAATAGTAATGGTGCGATAGTCGATTCCTATTTCTCTTTAATCGAAGAACGCTGCAGGAACACCTATTTACTAGAAAATAGAGATTTTTTTTGTCTTTCAAACTAGGTGTGGATGGGGTCTGTGGGTCCCACACCCTCTAANTCCTTAACTTCCAAGGAACTTCTTTTGGTATTATCAAATAAGGAAAACACTTCTATTTAAAACGCTAAATTATGATATGAGATGGAGGTGCCTTGAGCATTGATTGAACACGCAAGATCTAGGATTCAGTGATGCATACATTTACACCATGATCTAACCGAAAGTAAATATTATAAAACACTTAACCATGTAGACAAATATTCGTTCTGTCTCTTTGAAACAAAAAAAAAAACTTTTTTTTCATCACAATGCTTATTCTACCCAAGCAAAAATGTGCATCAATTATCATAAGAACATTGTTTCATGCAAAAAAAAGTACATATTTATAATGCTTGTGTAGGATTAATAAAAAAAATGTAATTCAAGAAAGACAGAAGAAAAATATTGTTCCGATGCTCGGTATAGTGGATAACCTATTTTTTCAAGTGTTTCTAACAGTCACACAACGAAAAAGAGAAGAGTCCTAGAGTTTCGAAAAAATTGTCTGATTTATTTAAACGCTGCAAGACAGACCTTTAGTGTAGACATATTGTGTAGAGGACACTTTCGACTATCTACTCATGTCAAGAAATCAATAGAATACAATGACAGTTTTCAGAAATCCAGTCTCATTTTTCAAAGATCATCAGTGAAACCGATGTTCGGATTTCTTTTCGACAAGGGTTTCGCTTATGAAAATATGCTGCTGAGTCGTGACTATCAAACTTTGAAGGGCGCCGTTTTCTATCTTGTTTCTATTGAACGTTATTCAAAACATGCCCGATTGTCTTGAATTCTGGCATTGATATTAATAAAAAAGGTAGTTGTCACTTTAGATCATGGACAATTCATTACTAGACAACGAGTACAAAGTCTTTAACATGCGTCGAAGAATTCCAATGCAACATAATTTCGAAGAAAATAATGCAATAGACGAGAGACGTTGTTCAGCGTCCAAAAATAGAAAACATATTTTTATATTTGTTCTGACGATTTTGATCGTAGTGCTCATTAGCGCTCTTATTGCATTAATAGTTCTTATAGCCCAAACTGGAGTAACAATAGATAAGCAACGATCAAGGCATCAAAAAGTTTTATTTGTAATTGTGGATGGTGTTTCTGCAGATGTCATAGAAAATATTAAACGTCCCAACATGAAAAAGATTCAAGACATTGGAAGTTATAAGAGAACTTATGTTGGAGGTGACAATGGCACTTATTCGGAAACACCTCCTATTTCGGCAGCTGGTTATATGAATCTACTCACTGGTACATGGGCTAATAAACACAATGTGTATGATAATGATGTTAACTTTCCCAATTATCATTATAAAAATATTTTTCGACTTTTTAAAGAACAATATTTCGATAAAAAGATTGCCATTTTCTCGACTTGGACAAATAATCGTATCAAACTGATCGGTGAAGGATTGGTTACGGCAGGTAATATTACATTCGATTATAAATTCGATGGATACGAACTCGATCAGATTACTTATCCTCATGATCTAGATGATCATTTTATCTTTGACATCGATCAACGTGTGACTAATGAAACTGTAGCATGTATCAAACAATATGCACCTGATCTTTCATGGGTTTATTTGCAATATACAGATGACGTCGGCCATCAGTATGGAGATGGTGAAAAATTCAATGAAGCAGTTACTGATGTTGATCATCAGATAGGACAAATTTGGAAAGCTATCGATTATCGAATGCAACATCATCAAGAATATTGGTCAATTATTATTACGACGGATCATGGTCGAGCTCCGATAAACGGCAAAGAGCATGACAATCAAACTGATAGAGAACGAACAACTTGGATCATAACAAACAGTCAACAAATGAATAGTTACTTTCATGACTTTGAGCCTGCCATGGTTGATTTATATCCAACAATTGCAAATTGGATAGGTCTTCGTATTCCGATTGAATCTGAAAGAGAATTAGATGGAGTACCGTTGATAGGAAAAGTATCATTAGTGAAACCGGATGTAAAATTGTTCGATAATAGTTTAAAAATTAGTTGGACAGTTTTGGATCATACTGGAAATGTCCAAGTGTGGCTGTCAACTACAAATTCATATAAAGACGGTTTGGCAGATAATTACTATTTAATGGAAACAGTACCCATAGATAAAAATATGGTTATCGTTGATATTAAAGCATATCCATCAAACTTCTATAAGGTAGTCCTCGAAGGGCAATATAATATGGTGAATAGATGGGTATTTCGATCATGAAGTTGTATAGCATTATACAATAACAATAATAATATTACAGTGCTTATGGTAGTTACTTAATAGTTAGAGAAATCTAGTAGAAATGTATGTAGATTATTTTGATTGAGTGAACTTTGGGACTTTTTCAATAATTCCAGTAAAACATTTTGTTCATTGAGTATCGTTGTAATATGTTCGGTTTTAATATGCTTTTTTTTTGAATGTATAAAATAATCTATATGTCGATATTGGACTTGATTCGATAATCGTTTGGTTGAATAAATTTGCTCACAATATCAAAAACATCGTTCAGGAGTGGGTGTGAATATAGTGTGCTGAAATGGCTGTGAGTGCCATTGTGGTGTGGTTTTGAAGTGGTGATGTGAATCTGAGTGCGTAGCTACACGAGCAGGCACAATCGTAGTCAGTTCCAGAAAATGTTCTTTTTCTCATTATTTCGATATACATAGTATGTTTTATGGTAGAAGCTGTCTTTTTTTTTTTCAAAAGAAGTTTTTATTTTCGAATCAAAGAAGATGATGTTATGCTTCTGGATTGACTTTGTGACCATTTAAAGGAGGAAAGTACTGCGAGCTGGTAACTTTTGTTCGTTGGAAGGAACCAAACGTCTTCGAATCGCTACATTCTATTGGTAAGGCTTCATTTCATATGACTCTAACTTGCGTTTGACGACTTACTGAACCGCATTTTATTCCTGTTTCCTCATTTCCCTTGTGCTCATATGATAAGCAGATACCATATTGATATTGAAGGTAATACTGGTAAAATCAAGTTGTCTATTAGGTTGGGCATAAAAGCTGGATGTAAATCAGATTGATTGTCTATTACGATATTTTCTGTAATACCATTCAGTCAATTGGTAATATTGTATTCCAGATCCGTCTTCAATGCCGTAATTGCTCATACAAACCAGAAGAGCAACGTTTCTGTTAGCAATATTAATATTAATGAAAGGCACAAGCAGCTATCATGCAATCACGCATAAGAAGGAGATAGATGAATATGCGCTTCAGTATTCCGATTGATACCATCAAAAAGATTATCATGGAAAAAATTATGGTTTTGGCTTGGCAGTATAAATGTCACTGTTAATGTTTCAACAGAAGAGAAAGCAACAGAAAACATTGCTTAATAAAAACAGAACAAGATGATGAAGTATAAATTATATCTTGCGTAGTGCATTCTCTAGCCAAAAACGACGTTTTGTTGAAATCTTTCAGTGAAAATATGGCTCTCGTTTGGTAATAGTGACTAGAGATACTCTTATCACTTAATTATTTGACAAATAGCGGGATACGTCGAAGAAAATATTTTGTCGGTGTACTGATTGAGAAGTGATGTATCAACACTAACACACACTCAAAACATCCTGATCTTATCCAATGATAAAGAGGCCGTTTCAAATTATTTTTGATTTACTCGTTTTTTAATCATTATAAATTTATTGTCGATAATGTACTTAGAATATTCGTTTATGTCTCAGTTTTGCTTTTCAGAATTTGAATGCGAAATTTTTTTCAGGCATATATTTAAAGAATATTATTTTGGAAAATCAAAATTACATTTAGACAACACTACAGTATTGCTGATCTCAACTAGTTATATAGAACCAAGCTCTTTAGCTAATGCAATGAATCTTAACAAACTCATAGCTCGATTCAAATGACACTGAAACATATACTTAAGAGAATACTAAAGATTAATTTCATTTCAAAATTGTGTCAGGTTTTGAGTACCTTGATATGCATTTTGTCGTAAAAAGGCAAAATTGCAAATGTAGATGATGTAAACATCTAACGTGAATGCGAAATGAACGTAAAAGCAAGACCGACAAAGTAGCTGAAGATGTTGAATATGTTGTCCATACAATGAATATCATCTATTACTATCAAACTGTAGTGAATCCTACACAAGAAATATTCACAATTTTCAATCTGTGGAATAAATTCTTCACAAATAAATATTTCGATTACACCTTACCCATTGCATTCTGAAGCTAGAAGTTGTTCGTTATTGTTCATTTACAGATTATAATATTTGTATCATGTATTTCTTTTAGAAGTATGTTTACTGATATTAGTTATAGCAGAGCGAGAGACAAAAATAGGGGTGCAGAATCTGCCGATGAAATAAAAAAATTTCTCCAACGGCAAAATTTTTGCGAAAAATTTCCAAGTTATAACATTCAATTAAGCAACGACCTTTCTCGTTTAAGATATCTATTTAAAACAAAAACCTATCACTATTCAACACATTGTAATTACACATTAAAGAAAAGAATGCTATTATTCAATATGATTTGTTTCACATAATCTAGCTACTTGTACTTTTCGTAAATGATATAAACTAACAAAATGATATTCTGTCAAGTTGTTTTCTGAAATCTTCAATTTAAATCTTTCTTCAGGATAGCTTTTTTTCTGCTTTATCTTTTCGCTCGGCCTATTCACAATAAAAACATGATACCTATTATTTGGTTGAGTACTTGTCTACTATTTAAGTTACTTTTTTAAAAGATGAAGTCGTTTCAAATCGTACTCGAACTAATTTTGGAAAGATAGTTGGATACAGTGAAGCCTTCAACTAATACTAAATGATTGAACTATAAACAATTTTATTAAAATATAATGCAGCTGATCAATTTGAAAAGAGCCTTGATCGATTGCTTTACATGCGTAATTTAATAAGCGTATAACACAGGCCTGTTTCTTTCGATAGCATTTGCAATAATCGTGCTTTTATGAAGTTGGGTTATTTCTGTGCAGAATAATGCTTGTATCCTTTTCTCTTTTAAAATTTTCAATTTTTCTGTATTACAATAAACAATTGCCTGTAGTGTTTTGAGATTAATATTAACACTAAAAATGTTGTCGATGGTTAAGTGCGGAGACTAAAAAGTTTATTTTAATCCACAACTGTATTAGTTGATATTCACTTACATTGATATGAACTATAAATAACACTCTTATTGTCCCGGAATCAAGTTTCCCTCTATCGTGGATTTCTGATAGGGAGAACTAGAATAACGATAATCGAGTCACTTTTCAAAAATGAAGTTGAATTTATCAGAACGTGAATTGATTTTTTCAAAAGTGAATCCGAACTGAACTGAACTCAAATCAACGAAAAATGGTTCGATTCGGTTAATAATGGCTAGGAAATGGAGGCTATCGTTAAGTTACCAGTTACCCGTTACTTTTTCAGGAGTAACTTCTCAAAAAGATGAATTGTGGCTTCCACTCGATCGGATATGGTCAAAACGTCATTTTATAAAGTTACGAGTTAATTGGTAACTGGTTGGTAACGGTAACTTCCCACCCCTAACAATACCATAAATTAGTTATCATAGTGACTGTGTACCCATACATACACGCAAAAGCAACTCTATATAGCAACAGAGAAAAACGGCAAGTGATTAAATATCATTAGGAAAAGCACAGAAAGAAAAAAAAAGAAAACAATTAATGTGGATTATATTATGAATAGGCACAAAGAGGCAGGGTGAAGGAGATAGTAATATGCATGATGAACGTAAACAAAGGTAGACGATACTGATACTATAACAAAGACGCGTATGGCGCTTTCAGAAGTTTAAGGAGAAGACAAGAAAATATACGAGTAGAAGATCTTATCAATGTTTGCATAAATCAATCGAGGTTAATTTCGAAAATTTTCCCAGATGCTAATGAATTTTCAACAATTCCCTCCAACGACCGTCAGCGCTCATGGGTAGATTCTGCACGGCTGGTTCAACTATTAAGACAGGTAATATGAGAGTTCTGACAAAATGTGTTCATTAGTAAAATGATTGGCATTCTCTTAAAACTAAACCAAATCAACTAATATTTTGTGTGCTTAAAACCTCAGTGGTTAGCTACAAGTTGATAGGTAACACAGACAAAAGTCCTTTAGTCTCTAGCAAAGACATAAGCCGTTACATCAACAAGATGAAATTCTACGCTTCGTGAAATAGGGAGACGTTTTATCTGCAGTTTGTGCCGACGATCAAGGTGCATCAAGAAATTTATTCCTGCAAAGTTTCAGCTCTCGGAACCTTATCGGTTTCAAAATCCAGAAGGCTGCATACTTTTGCGAAGTACTCTCACATATTTTTAAAACTCAAACAGACGTGTTAGTGTGTGTGAGTCCTCTGATCGCATACACTCACACCCCTCAGTTGAATCAATGGTTAGAATGTTCATACAGCTAAATTAAGAAAAAAGAATGCGAAAAAATAGAAAATAAAAATAAAGAGTGAATAGCAACAATTTCAACAAAAATAGTGCGCTAGTAAAAAAACCATATTCTTTTGGAAATTCAGAAATAAATATGACAGATTGTTTTTCTGCCGATCGTTTATCTTAGAAAATAACTATAATGTACGACAGATTTTCTACTTTACGAATTTTATATTAATTTAATCCGACTAAAGAAGATATGTGAGTTCCACATTTCAGTCCCAAAGGGGCTGCTCTGATAAGCCTTTTTTTTACTATTCATCATACAAAGTGAGTGTTAGCATAAATTGCTAATACCCCTATCATCATTACAATATAAAATATTTAAACATCAAACGAGTTCTGATTTTGGTTTCGAAATTTGACCGATTTGTATTTTTCGTACATGAGGTTCAATCATTTTTGTTGAACTAAGTAAGAAATCGACGGTTGCAGCAGTTGTAGCACAGATAATACCATAAACTTGAGCTAAACGAAGAAGTGCTTGCACATCGGAATTATGAGGATGAGAATCCAAAGGATCAATAAAGAAAATGAGAATGTCAAGTTCTCGTGAAGTAATTTTTGCACCCAACTGCTGATCACCACCCAAAGGACCACTTTCGAATTTAGTTACAGGTATCTGAAGTTCTTTTTCTACTAATGATCCAGTCGTACCAGTGCCATACAATTTATGTTTAGCAAGTACATCACGATGTTGTCGGAGACATTCAATCAATTCTGTCTTCTTATTATTGTGAGCAACAAGAGCAATTCGTTTAA